CTCAATAAAATATTCAGCAGTTTTGAAAACAGGTTCTGAAATGGTTTTAATAAGCCTGCAGTTCTCATTTTCATTTCATCCTACCCTCCAATACTTGCTTGCTAACCTTAGGTACATAATAATATAAGGAAAATTAGAGTGAAATGACATCATTTTTAAAGGGTTATTCCTCAAATTCCTAATCTTAATGAAACATAATATTTAACGAGTTTATCATCAGGATTCCCTGGTGGTTCAGTGGTAAAGAATCCACCTGCCAATGCAGGGGACACAGATTCCATCCCTGGTCCGGGAAGACCCCACACGCTGCAGAGTAACTAAGCCTGTGTGCCCCAACTACTGAGCCTGTGCTCTAGAGCCCAGGAGCTACAACTACTGAAGCCCGCGTGCCCTAGAGCCCCGCAACAAGAGAAGTCACCATGATGAAAAGCCAAGCACCGCAGCTAGAGAGGAGCCCCCGCTCTCCACAACTAGGGAAAAGCCCACGCAGCAACGAAGGCCCAGCATAGCCAAAAATAAATTTTGAAAAAATCATTATAAAAAAGGAAAATGTTTGACACCATTTTAGCACAAAACTCATCCATTTAGCCCAGCATGTATGCATATTTCAGCCACTGGAGAAGTATGTAGCCACTTCTCTTCATGACTCCAACATTATGGGAGTGGAAAGATAAAAATATATAGTTAAGAAATGGATATGTTTAATTTCTTCTTTCTTTATTTAGAATGTTTAGCACTTTTATATTTCAAAATGCTCACGAATTCAGTTTTAGATTCTGAGTGTATTATTAAATTCTACTATTTAAATTAGAAATAGTCAAAGTAGCTCTTTCAATTTTCTCAAAAGCAGGGCTGGATAAGTTAGACTTCATTAAAATTAAATTTTTTTGCTCTGCAAAAGACACTGTAAAGAGAATTAAAAGACAAGCCACAGACTGGTAGAAATATTTTCAAAAGATAAATCTGATAAAGGACTGTGATACAAGATTTTAAGAGAATTCTTAAAATTCAACAATAAGAGAACAAACAGTCCAGTTTTAAAATGGGTCAAGAACTTTAACAGATAGTTTACAAAAAAGATATACAGATTAAAATCACCATGTGAAAAGATGCTTCACATTATATATCATCAGGGAAATGAAAATTAAAACACAATGAGATACCACTTCCATCCTTTTAAAATGGCCAAAATCCAGAAAGCTGACAATACCAAATGCTGATGAGGATGTGAAGCAAAAATAATTCTCTTTCATTGTTGATGGGGATACAAAATTGTATAGCCACTTTGGAATGCACTTTGGCAGCTTGTTACAAAACTAAACATGCTTTTGCTCTGCTGCTGCTGCTAAGTCACTTCAGTCGTGTCCAACTCTGTGTGACCCCATGGACTACAGCTACCAGGCTCCTCCGTCCATGGGATTTTTCAGGCAAGAGTACTGGAGTGGGTTGCCATTGCCTTCCCTGGCTCTTGCTCTACAACCCAACAATCACACTCCTTGATATTTAGGATTGTGAAAGTAGCTGAAAGTAGCTGAAAACACATGCAAAAACCTGCACACTAATGTTTATAGTAGCTTTATTCATAACTGCCAAAAGTTGGAAGCAACCAAGATGTCTTCTAGTAGGAATGGATAAACTGTGGTACATCCAGACAATGGAGTATTATTCAGCAATAAAAATAAATGATTTTTCAAGCCATGAAAAGACATGGAGGAAATTCAAATGCATATTACTAAGTGAAAGAAGCCAATGTGAAAAGGCTACATAATGTGTGGTTCCAACATATGACATTCTGAAAAAGGCACAACTATGAAGACAGTAGAAAGATCAGTGGTTGTCAGAGATTAGGGAGAGGAAGAGATGAATAAGTGGTGAATAGAGGATTTTTAGGATAATAAAATTATTCTAGTATAGTATGGTACTACAATTATGGATACATGTCAGAGTATATAGAGTATACTCTGGTATCCTCCAGTATAGTATAATACTATAAGGATAGATATATGTCATATGCCTCTGTCCACACTCATAGAATGTATAATACCAAGAGTGAACCCTAATGTAAACTATGGACTTTGGATGATAATGATATGTCAATGTAATTTCATCAGTTGTGACAAGTGTATCACTCTGGTGGGACATGTTGATGATAAAGAGTCTTATACATGTTTCAGAGTAGGGAGTGTATGGTAAATCTCTATATGTTACCTGCAAATTTGCTATGAACTTAAAATCAATCACAAATTCTTTTTTAAAAAGGTACTGTACTGTCATGATTAACTCAATTACTTATTACAAGAAAACCATTCAACTGGTCACAATGCATACCAAAACGTTTCTGTTTTTTAAAAAGACAATGTTTTTAAAATTATGTTCTGGCTTTGACTTAAAAAATAAGCCAAATACTCGAGATAATCCAGTAGAATACACTGTAATTTGGCAAGTTTTTAAATCCTTGGATGTACTGGGCCTAAGGAAAGAAGTATAAATATCCACGATTCAGAAGTGTAGGGAGAAATTGAGGCAATCAGAACTTGATCTTTATGCTGTATCAGAGAAAAGTTGCTATCCTAGGAGGAGCAAGATCCTAGGCTCCCCTGGAGGGATAGCAGCTTTTAAGTTATATGCAGCAGTATAACTAGAAAAAAAGGAGCTCAAGACTGCAGAGCTAGACTTGAAACGCTCAGGATGAAGAAAGAATCTTGGATGGACTGAAGACCTGTCCAAGCATGGCTTGTCCAAGATCACTAGGACAGGCATGTTCTCAAATTTGGAAATTTCATCAAGTCTGTGGATTTAAAGCTATGTTCTAGAGCAGGATCTGCCTGACAACAATATATAGTATTCATGGTCATTTTAATCTTGGCTTTGAAATTGCTATTTTCAACACCCTTAATATGCTTGTGCTTGGTGATAAAGTCTTTTTCAAACACAACCAACTTTTGTCAGATACATGCAAAAATAGTGAGAGTTTTAAAAAATATTGTTTTAATTAAATAAATAGTAAGTAATCACTGTGGAAGCTTCTAAAAGTGTTACATGCATGCAACCAAATACAGTTATACTTCAGTCAATGTAGGGAGTCCCAACCTTCAGTGTTCTCAGGGAGAGTCCATATGTGTATATGCTGTGGATTTGACTACTCTTTTCCTAAAAGGAATCCTAGGAATGAGCTTGATGGTCGGAAGGAGCCAGGATGACATGACTGACTCCAGACAGCCCCTTTCATTTGCAGAGCATTTTGAATTTTACCATTTTTCTTTTTTTTTTGACTTACATTATCAGTTGACCCTGCAACCATCCATCCAGTGAAGTAGGTTATCATTGTCATTTGCTGTCAGATTTTAGAAAATCAAGATTCATTAGATTAAAGCAACTTGCCTGAGATAGTAGATATCCAAGATAAAACTTTTCTTGAGGTATCTGTCTAAAATGTTCATCTTGGAAATTATTCAAGCGTGGGTAGGAAATGGAATAACGGAGAATCCTAAGTTAGGGGAAATTTTTTTAAAAGAGGTCTACTTGCATGTAGCAATCATTCAACTTTAGCAAGTACTTTTGATGATAGGTGTTGCTAGTTGGGGAAAACCCAAATGGGTATGTGTGTGTGTGTGTGTGTGTGTGTGTGTGTGGTTTTTCTCAGCATGTGGAGTTTAATAACCCTAATCACATTCACATGGATATCTGCAGAAAATGAGGATTCCTGGAATTCACCCCAGTTGCTCTTAACTCTTGGAGAGGGCATGGCAACCCACTCCAGTATTCTTGCCTGGAGAATCCCATGGACTAGAAGCCTTATGGGCTACCATCCACCAAGTCTCAAAGAGTTGGACAACACTGAAGCGACTTAGCTGCGCTCTTAACTCTGGGAATCTCTAAAGGTGAATCTATATCTTTAACAAGAGACCCTCAGCTGACCTTTAAACTTGACTTCGCTTGCCTTTCCGGGCCTGTGGTTTTCCCCCTGGGAGGGGCACGGTCTGGCTTGGAAGGGTGGAGGGTGAAGGGTTAAGGGATCCACGCGCAGGCGCTGCCCTCTGAACTGGAAAGGAAAACAACTTCCGGTCGGAGTCACTCGGCCGGGCGCCGGGCGACTTGAGGGTGGAGAGACCGGTGCGGAAACCCTGAGCTGTAAGTAAGAAACTTCGCTAGAGAGTTGCTGTATCCGAATGCGTCGGGCAAAGCGACGGAGAACTTGTATGTGTGAGCGAAAGGGATACGCTGCCGTATGGGCGCCGCAGGGAGAGAAGCCGAGGAGCTGCAGAGACAGCCAGTTCTTATGGTGGGGAGGGACTTTGTGCGAGAGAAATCACCTGGGTCCCCGTCCCGGAGCCGACCGGGAGGGGCTTTCCGGGCCCATGGCCTCTGCGCAGCGACCACGGCCCCCGCTGCGACGGCTTCAGGGGAGGGACCCTGCCCGACTCCGCGTCGGCCGCTCTCTGTGACTTGATTTCTTGGCCTCCCAACCAGGGAGGCAGGCCTGTGATGTCAGGGAGAGCAGTGGACCCCACCTGAAGGTCCCAGCCTCCCTTGAGGACCGGGGGCTGCCTTCCAGAAGTTAATACTATCTTTGTTACTCTTTCAAAAACTTCCTAGGTTCTTTCTGTTGTTTTTTCCCCAAGGTTATTGCACAGTTTCTCTCTCAGCTTTCCTGTGGGGTGTCATCATAGCCTTGTCAATGAGAAGTTGGGTAACCTCCCCGAGGGTCAAGGAGAAACTGGATGGCTAAGGCGGAAAGAGCGGAAGCAAACCCTGCCCCCAGTGGGAACCGGGCGTTAGGCGGAATCCCTAGCGCGGTGTAAACTGACTAGTGACGAGTTACACGTGTAACAAGATGTGCACGTCACGAAGTGAAGCAAGGAGGGGGAGTCTCTGTGTGTCTTACTATGCTGTAACAAGAAGTATAGCAGCCTTTGCTATATAAAGTGTCCTGTGTCTCACAGATGCTTTTGACAAGTTGTATCTTAAGAGAGAAATGGTTAGTAAAGGAAGTGAAGTTACACGAAAGTGAAGGAAAATAGCGTGATCTGTTTCCCTACCACGACGGGAATACACATTTCAAAGAGGGGGAGCAGAGAAGCGAGCTCTGTAGTCTGCGAAAAAAAATTTTGTCCCTCTCACTGGGTAGGAGAAGAGAACCCTAAAGTGGTAACAGTCACGTTTTAAGCAGAAAATGAAACTCCTTCACGGCCCTCTCCCCAGCCACAGGTACTCCATCAACGTCTTGCACATCTCTCTTATGTGTACATAAACATGTTATTTCGCTTTCTTATGAAAATAAGATTGTATGTGCATACAGTCCTATTATTTGGTTTTTCAGATAGAATATATATAGTGGAAATCTTACCATATTACCAAATCTTACCATAGCTCTGCTTTACCTTAATGTCAGCATGGGATATCTTTGCCTGGAAATGTAGTTAAACATCTCTTAATATGGCCTGTCTATATATTTTGCTCTTGTTCTTCACAATTATTTAATCTATATTTCATTAGGATACAGATATATTAACCCTTTGTGAATTACATGGTGAATATTTTCAAGAACTATCAGTCTTTGGGTTAAAATGCCCAGGTTTTCACTTAAGAAGATGGTCCTCACTCAAAAATTATTAAAATATTTTCCTTTATTGTTCATTACATCTTCTTACAGTTTTGTTATGCTTTACTCATTAAAACATATGAAAATCATTTTTGAAAATTGTATAAGATCAGGATTTAGCCATTTTTGCTGAAATCATTTCATTCCCAGCTGGCTAGAAATACTACCTTAATGTAGTAAATTTCCAGACATACATGAGTCTTTTTTGGATTCTTGTGTTCCTTTGTTGTATTTGCTTCTTCCTATACAATTACCAGTCTCTCTTTGGTTAGGCACTTTGTAGTCATTCATAAAGCAAGCCCCTCTTCAAATATCCTTGATGATTGTATTCTCTCTCAGGTAAAATTTAAAGTAAACTATTTATATTTCATTAAAACAGGCTTCTTTGGGGAGTTTTGTTGTATAGTTGTCAGTCATATCCGACTCTTTGTGACCCCATGGACTGTAACCCACCAGGCTCCTCTGTCCATGGGATTTCCCAGGCAGGAAAGCTGGAATGGGTTGCCATTTCCTTCTCCAGGGGAGAGATCTTTCTAATCCAGGGAATGAACCCTATTCTCCTGCACTGAAGGCAGATTTTTCACCACTGAGTCACCAGAGAAGCCCTTGGGGGGTTTTAACTATCCACTGATATTTTGTGACTGACATGTAGATGATTTATATTTCTGGCCAACTTTCTAAAATTACTGGTTTTAATAAATTGTCTCTTGAATTTTCTAAGAAAATAGTCTTCTGAATATACTCTTATCTCCTTCTTTATACTTCTTTCTTTTGTTTATAAATATCTAGCTTCTCCAAAACAGTGATATATAATAACTGATTCTGGGCATCCTTATCATATTTATTCATTTGTAGTTGTTTTTATTGTGTCATCATTGAATATGAATTTTATAATAAATTTCAAATAATTTTATTTATCAAATAAGTATCTTTAATATTTCTAGCTACTCGGATTTTTGCAGGGAATGGATTTTGGATTGTGTCTAAAGTTGGGGTTTTTTAATTTTGCTTTTTCTTTTGCATTGGCTAGCACTTTGAGAGCAGTTTTGAATAGTAGATGTTGAGTTTTCATTTGGTGTATATATTTGTTGTTGATGTATTTTCATTGCTACTTAGCTAAACATTTTTACCAGGAGTGGAAGTTGAGTTTTGTCATATATGGCATTTTTGGCATCTAATATGGCCAAATCATGTGGTTTTCTTCCTTGACCTTTTAGAATGGCAAATTGTTTTAATAGATTTTTACCTTTGTTGTTGTTGTTTTTAATTTTTATTGGAGTATAGTTGATTTATAACGTGTTAATTTCAGGTGTACAGCAAAGTATACGTACGTATATCCACTTTTTTTGTTTGTTTGTTTTCCCATATAGGCCATTAGTTCAGATGCTCAGTCGTGTCTAGCTCTTTGCGACCCCATGAACTGCAGCACGCCAGGCTTCCCTGTCCATCACCAGCTGCCAGGGTTTGTTCAAACTCATGTCCAACGAGTCGGTAATGTCATCCAACCATCTCATCCTCTGTCGTCCCCTTCTCCTCCCGCCTTCAGTCTTTCCCAGCATCAGGGTCTTTCCCAGTGAGTCAGTTCTTTGCATTAGGTGGCCAAATTGTTGGAGTTTCAGCTTCAGCATCAGACCTTTCAATGAAGATTCAGGACGATTTCCTTTAAGATTGACTGATTGGGGGGGAAAAAAAGATTGATTGGATCTCCTTGCAGTCCAAGGGACTCTCAAGAATCCTCCAACACCACAGTTCAAAAGCATCAATTCTTCAGTGCTCAGCTTTCTTTATAGTCCAACTCTCACATCCATACATGACTACTGGAAAAACTGTAGCTTTGACTAGACAGACCTTTGTTGGCAAAGTAATGTCTCTGCTTTTTAATATGCTCTCTAGGTTGGTCATAAGTTTTCTTCCAAGGAACAAGCATCTTTTAATTTCATGGCTGCAGTCACCATCTGCAGTGATATGGGAGCCCAAGAAAATAAAGTCTGTCACTGTTTCCATTTTTTCCCTATTTATATGCCATCAAGTGCTGGGACTGGATGCCATGATCTTAGTTTCTTGAATGTTGAGCTTTAAGCCAACTTTTTCAGTCTCCTCTTTCACATTCATCAAGAAGCTCTTTAGCTCTTCTTCGCTTTCTGCCATAAGGGTGGTGTCATCTGCATATCTGAGGTTATTGATATTTCTGCTGGCAGTCTTGATTCCAGCTTGTGCTTCATCCAGCCTGGCATTTCGCATGATGTTCCCTGCATATAAGTTAAATAAGCAGGGTGACAGTATACGGCCTTGACATACTTGTTTCCTGATTCAGAACCAGTCTTTTGTTCCATGTACAGTTCCAACTGTTGCTTCTTGACCTGCCTACTGATTATGGAGTATTTAATAGATTTCTCTGTGCTATACAGCAGGTTCATTAGTTATTTTATATAGTGTGTATATGTCAGTCCCAGTCTTCCAAGTTATCCCTCTCCCCTTTATCTCATGTTAACTGTAAGTTTTTTTCTACATCTGTGCTCTACTTTTGTTTTGTAAATAAGCTCATTTGTATCTTTGATTTCTAGTTTTTTAACCAAACTTACACTTCATCACTGTGTTAAATTTCAGCATATAGGTTTCTTTTTGATAACAATTTTATTTAAAATCAGTAATTGACTTACATCTGTAGATATCTTTTTTCCTGTTATCGTTGCCAGAGTTTAATATCAAGGCTATGCTGATTTTCTAAAAAGAATTTAAATTAGTTCTTTCTTTCTCTGCTTTGAGGTGGTTTAAATAGCTTGTTGTTTAGTTGCTAAGTTGTGTCTGACTCTTTGCAACCCCATGGATTATAGCCCACCCAGGCAAGAATATTGGAGTGGATTGCCATTTCCTTCTCCAGGGGATCTTCCTAACTCAGGGATTGAACTCAGCATCTCCTGCATTGGCAGACTCAGCTCAATTTGCGGAGCCACCAGTGAAACCTAAAAGTTTAAGAGCTCTCTGTTTGAAAGTCTGAAAGAATTAATTCATGAAAATACAGTGGACCCTTGAATAATACTTGAAGGTTAGGGGTGCCACAGCTCCCAACAATTGAAAATCTGCAAGCAATTTATAGTCAGCCCTCTGTTTCCGAGGTTCTGCATCTTCAGATACAATCAACTGCAGATAGTGTAGTACTGTAGTATGTATTTAGTGGGGGAAAAAATTCACCTGTGAGTATATCATGCAGTTAAAACCCATGTTGTTCAAGGTCAACTGTACATTGTTATTAAGGCAGCAATAATATTCAGCAGAAAGATCCAGAACTTTAAAAAGCAAACAAAAGCTCCTTAGAGTAAATCCTTATAATTGAAGGAGTATGAAGCACCAATAATGTAGAGAATGAAGAACTGCTGTGCTGATCCTGGTCATTTTTATCCTCCACCTTTTTTTTTATTTTTCAGGGAAAATGCTGTGTGTAGACTGGGGGTGATAATAAAGTGCTTTACTGTTTTTTCTCTCCTCTACTCCAATTTATAAAGGAAAGGGTGTTGCTTCTACATGGGCAAGCTTTTATGCCCTGAAAGAAACATTGAGTGAAACTCAACTAAAAGAGCATCAGTTCACTTTGTTGTCATCAGCTTCCCAATTTTCCCAGGAAATTTCTTGTTTTAGAGGTAGTAACCAAGCTGACATTCTACTCTAGCCAAATCCAATAGGGGAGTTTCAAAATGAGTGGCTGAGAAAATATGCAAGCGCAGCATGCTTTTACTTACTGAATATGAAGTGAAAATCTGTAACAGTCTAGGTATGTACATAGCCTGTGGACACACATAAGAACAGGGCTGTCTTCTGAGGCATATAAACCATATAACCACAGCCCACTGTTTTACTCAGCTAACGAATGGCATACTGTTAATATGTGGATAGTAGTGTATTATGTAATCTTTGGGAGAGCTATTCACTTTTATAAATGTTTATTTGAAATACTTTTTGATTGCTTTCAAGCAAGACTATTACCTTAGATAATGCAGTTTAGCAGTACACATCTGTGAACTGGAGGAAACTTCAAGATGCTCATCAATATTATTTACAGAGGAATGCAGGTATTCTGTCAGTGTTGGATATTTGAGTAGCTTAGCTTAAACATCTGTTAATCTAGAACAAGTGATTATTGGCATAGTTTGGGGGCATGCCCTTCCCTGGTAGCTCACTGGTAAAGAATTTTCTGCCAATGCAGGAGATACTGGTTCCATCCCTGGGTTGGGAAAATTCCTCAGAGGAGGAAATGGTAACTCCAGTATTCTTGCCTAGGAAATCCCATGGACCCAGAATCCTGGTGGGCTACAGTCCATGGGGTCGCAAAGAGTCGGACACAACTTAGCAACTAAACAACAACCTATAACAGACAAAGACTGCATATTTTTTAAAAGCATACCAATTATCTGTCAGGAAATGGTAAAAAAAAAAAAGAATACATAGCCTCTTGATGTAAAACACTCTTCTGACTACAGTTGCTCCTTGAACAACACGGAGGTTAGGCATGGCAACCCTCTGTTCAATTGAAAATCTGCGTGTAAAGTTAACCCTCTGTATCCAAGGTCCCTGTGTACCTGTGGTTCCACCATATCAGCATTTCCACATC